AAAATTGATTTCAGAGAGGAAGGGAGAGGGAGAGAGAGAAATATCAATGATGAGAGAAAATCATTGATCAGCTGCCTCCTGCATGCCCCCTACTGGGGATCGAGCCCGAAACCCTGGGTGTGTGCCCTTGACCAGAATTGAACCCGGGACCCTACAGTCTGCAGGCCGACGCTTTATCCCCTGAGCCAAACCAGCTAGGGCTGCCACCTTGTTTCTAAGTAAGGCACGTATACTCCTAGTTCTTAAAGACACCCCCCCTTTTTTATTACCTGTTGACTTCCTAATATGGAAGATAAAAATTTCATGCTTTCACTCTCCTCCATATTAAAACAACAACACTCCCCTCTCAGTAATTAAACAATCCTGTTATCAGTTATGCCATATTGAGCACCCTTTCACCATCCTGGGCTGCATGAGTAATGGGTATGTAATTAGTAAGTAGTATGTATGTTGATTTCTAACAAAGATACCACCACAGCTCAGTGAGGGAAGGATGGTCATTTCTATAAATGATGCAATTGCATATGCATATGGAACGAGCCCCACTCCCTTGCTACCTGGGGACATTGGCAACGTCTGAAGACATTTTGGTTGTCAAAACTTGGGAGGTGCTACTGGCAGGGAGCAAAATTGTCCCTAACTGAGAGAACCCTAGCATATGCAAATGTAAAAAGTCATGGAGCTTCATGAAAATTATATTTTGTTAAAAAGATAAAAAAGAATGAATTTCGTGAGGTCACTGGATAGAAAATCATTTACATAACTCCATTGTATTTCTACATATCAGCCCCAACCAAATTGAAAATTGAATGTAAAATGCCATAAATAATCATGTCAAAAATATCAGGACCCAGGACTAAATATAATCGAAGAAATACAAGACATGCAGAGAAAATTAGAGACTGAATGGAGAGAGATGCTGCGTTTGTGGCTTGAAAGACAATATTGGGAAGATATCACTGTCCTGAAAATACTCTGTAGACTCAATGGATTCCAACCCAAATCTAGGACAATGGCTTTCAACCTTTCAACGGTGTTCTAATTACTCGTTCACACACACACACACACACACACACACACTCCCAAGAACAAAAGTTTTATGAAACAATACTTACCCTTACTACTTCAGATTGGCTTCCATATTTTCATCATGTTTTTAATGGAACTAAATAGATCTGTGCAACTAAATTGATTTCATTACCCGCTTACAAGACAAAATCTACAGTTTTAAGCTCCCGTGGAAGCACTGAGTGTCCTGGGGAACCGATCCCCCATCACACAGGTCTCCCTAAGGCCGACTCGTCACTGGCAGGCGAGCTTCTTTTTCAGGAAGTCCATTTTCAATCTCAGCCACAATGTTGGAATCTCCAGAGCTCTCAGTCTCTCCAGCCTCCACCTGGCTCAGGGAGCCTCCAGGAAACAGCCAGGCAGCCTGCCTGGCAAAGCCAGCGCAGGGCCCCCATTCCAAGTAGCCACCATCAGCCCCTACCCCCCCACCCCTGCTTCTACCCCTCCCCTCCGCCCAACCCCACCCATAGACTAGGCACAACGCAGCAAGCAGAAGTAGTGGTTTTATAGATAAACAGGTGACGTCACCATAAAAGGAAGTTGAGAGAGCCGCCACTTCTTATAGCAAGCCACAAACTGTTACCAAGTGGAAAATGACGAACAGCCAGCAAAAAAACCCCAAACCCGTTTGAGAAATACCATGTGAGTAGAAACCAAGACATTCTAGAAAATCATTGTCCAGCCGAGAGCAAACTGACATAGGTATGTGCCCTGACTAGGAATCGAACCTTCCCCTCCTGGTTCATAGGTTGATGCTCAACCACTATGTGCTCTTTTTTGTTAAACAGTGAGAGCCAAATAACTTCCTGGAATAGAAAGGTAAGAGCTGAATGAGCGTCCACTAATGGAAAACCAGTGTTTGTCTCCATCCCATCTCCATTTGATGTCAATCAAAACCCACCATTGGCCTTTAATTTTTAAAAATGCAAATTCTGCGGGCATACATCAGTTACCTGATGTATAATAAAAGAATGGGGAAGGGGGAAGTGAAAGAAGAGAGAAAGCTGCTGTGGTAGCCTGGGTGTGGAGTAGAAGGTTCCCGTCTCAGTAGACACTCCCTCTGCTGCTGGACTGTTCCAGACACGTGTTTAGCTGTGCAGCTGTGTCTGTTGCATTGATTGGCTTCCCGTCAAATCGAAATCTGATCCACCTCATTGACAAACCCTGTTATTCACAATAGGCTTCCATTCGTTTACTAAGAGGTGTATGCCTCTTAGTCTTAAAGCGCTCCACAAGCCATCCTGTCCCCTGCCCCTCAGAGTAATATGATCGTTATTCTTACTCTGGGCTCCTTCCGGGGCTTTCCCTTGGCCTTGGTGAACGCCTGAGTCTCCTCAGCCGCCGCTTCACAAAAGAGGTGCCAGGTCTGCCAAGCACCCACCGACCACAAGCAGCCCCCCGAGTGGCAGAAGGTGGCAGCCACCGTGGCAGAGCGCTACCCTGTCCCTTAAAACAATCGACAGATTACTCTCTAGTGCATTTTCAAGTTGACACTAAAACTCTGAAAGTTCAAGTAGTTGCAAAGGATGTAACTTGTGATGTGAGCATTGACATATCCCAGCAGAGTGGCACGTCCTCCCTTTGACACATCTAATGCCATCCACCTGCTCTGGTGATTTGGTGCCAGCCAGTGCCCCGTTTCCAAAAGTACAAACTCTTCTTTTACTGTCAGAAATTTTACATTCTTCCTCTTTGTCCTTGACCTTAACTTGGAGCTCCCTCTGGACAGAATTCTTTCTCGTGAATTAGGTGTCATCAACCAAAATATATACAGAAACTAAATTTTAAATTTTATTTAGTTTCCTGTGACTATAAGGTTCCAAATGTTAAAATATTTTCTTCTGGATTGAATTACTTTTAAAATTTTTGCTAGTGCACAAATAATATAAAACATTTCATGTTTCATGTATTTTCATGAATAAGTATTAAACATTGAAAGTAAAATATGTTGGCCCTGGCCGGTGTTGTCCAATGGTTGGAGCTCCGGCTGAGCACCAAAGGGTCCTGGGTTCCCTTCCAGTCAAGCTGGGTCCCCCGCCCCCAGCCTGTTTCCTCCCCCTTGGAGAGTGTGGGAGACAGCTATTAGCAACCAGTCTATTTCTCTCTCTTCCCCTCCTTCCCTCCCTTCCATTCTCTCTGAAAAGCAGTGGAAGAAATATCCTCAGGTGAGGATTAACAACAACAAAGTAAAATATGTTGGAAATGAATCTCCAAATAAGCTAGACAGGGCACCCGCATTAATTCCACGTGCTCTTGGATGAAGATGCGTTATTACAGGAGTGAGTCAGGGTTCGCATCAATCCTGCCTTGGTTTTTAAGGCTCAGAAGGGCTGGAAGTTTTCCTCACAGAAGCGGCCACACAAGGCAGTTTCTGTGCCAGCAGCACCGTCAACTCTTAAGCTCCTTCCAAGGTGTGTTTCTACACCCGCCATGGAGAGCGCGCAACTGTTAGCTCCCGCCTCGGGCTGTGGGCTATTCAGGAGCCACCAGCCCTGTTACCCCCTTTCACAGGTTCAAGCGCTTAACCTCATCTCACATTTCAGCTGCCCTTTCTTTGGATCCAGTAGGTCACCCTCTGCCTCAGCCCTGACACTGCGTTTTGGGAAGATTCGAAAAGAAAGGGGGTCGCCCTTTCTCCTGGGAAGTGGATGGGGTGACAGTGCCGGGGAAGGAGGACGGGCTGGCCCGCAGGTGGCTTGGCGGGGTGGGGGGGGGGGGGGGCAGAGGGAGCTAAGCGCCTGCCAATGGAGCCTTTACAGCTTCCGGGGACTTGGTGCCCCGGGAGCTCCTTGTGACCCTTCAGGGGCGCAGCCCGGGTCTGAGGGCCTCCCCTCCCGGGCAGGATTCCTCTTTCCTGGCTGCTTGCCAGAATCTTCTGGGCGAGGCCGGTTCGGGTTTGTTTAAAGCGCCCCCTGGCGATTCTGTTTGCTGTGTCTCCATCGCTCCCACCTGGTCACAGGCGTGTTGGGCGGGGCTGGCAGGGGGCTCGCAGAGCACGGGCTGACCCCTCTCTTCCCCCGCAGTGTACCACTGGGTGGAGATGCGGACCAAGATGCGCATTATGGGCTTCCGGGGCACAACCATCAAGCCGCTGAACGAGGAGGCGGCCGCCGAGCTGGGCGCCGAACTCCTGGGCGAGGCCACCATCTTCATCGTGGGCGGTGCCTGCATGGTGC